CTAAAGGCTACTCCCAAGAGCCAGTTGAGTGCATCAAACCATTAGCAAATTCTTCCTCATAACAGATAAAATGTGTTTACAAAAATCCATCCCTCATTAATAAATATCAAATCAACTTCCACATAACAAATGACGTGTCCTGGATCGGTTCATAAGACTCACGGTACCACTCTCCTCCTTATTTGGAAGCAGGAGATGATGCAGGGAGTTTTTGTAGCCATCCTCACCTTTTCTCTTGGGACAGGTAAGTGCAAGGGGGATTGAAAACCTTCAAGGAATTCTGTTCCCATCTGTGTGAGAAGGGATTTTTGTTTGTTAACACTGTTTTTCACATCCACAGCTCCAAACCCTTTCTTCTTTGATGCATCCTCACAGGTTGTCTGATGTTTTTGTGTTTCAAGTGGAATTTTCTTTCCAGCAGGGGCTGCTCCAAAGTACCTCTGCACCTACTATGATGTTGTTGACTACCTGAACATCTCCTCTCATGACAAGCTGCACACGTACATCCTGCCCAAGATAAACCTGAAGGAGCCTGTGGAAGTGAAGGTGGATTTCTTTCTGGTGTCAATTCTCTCTGTGGTAAGGACCCAAAATGAGTTTTTACAACAGGAAACTGGGCTATTACTAGGCCAGGGTTTGAGTCTTCTGACAGCAAGGCCACAGGGGTGAGAATCAGCCCCTTCCACTTCAGCTTTCTGCTGTTGGAAAGCACTTTTGGAAGATCCGGACTATTTTCTCCCACTCCTTCCAGAAGTCACATCCTGACAAGCAGCCTGCTTAGCAGGAGGCTCCAAACACCATGCAGTGCCTGAACTGGGCAGTGCATTTGCAGGACACTGCCATGGAAATGTTAACAATAATCTATTATTTTTCCTAACCATTGAACTGTGTGCTCCCACTCTTCAGCCGTAGGATCAAGAGCCATGAGCTCTCTTCCCAAGCCCCATTATTGCAGTCTGTGCTCAGGGAAGAACTTCTGCATTGGATACATCTAAGACAATCAGCTAAATATCTTTGTTTCTCCAGGTGGAAAAGCTCCAGACAGTCAGTTTTTACTTCGTCCTGAACCTGGTAGGTCCCTCAAGAGCGTTTCTCTCCTGATGCCCAACACAAAGTCTGGTGCCCAGCCCAGAGCTCATCTCTCTCCTGCAACTTCTTCCTTCAGGAATGGCAGAACCCTTTTGCAACCTGGGACCCCCGGGATTTCTGTAACATCTCTGAAATTGTTCTGCCCATGGATACGTATTGGTCACCCCCCATCTTCATCTTAGAGCGGTACGTTCCCCTTTCATTTTTATCCACTGGCTTCGCAGAAATACAAAGGATGCAAACTGTTGGTTGTATTATAGGAAATGTGATAAACTCAGATGGCTAAAAGTTGTTCCCTTGAGCTCTCTGTAACCGAGAGCCTCCTAATTTAGATTAATGGTGACCACAGTTTATACAAAGCACTTAGTGGCTCTGTAATACTGTAACAGCTCCTGAAATTTCCCATCTGGGCTGCAGCTAAAACCAAGGGAGCAGCAGAAATCAGCACTGCTATGGAATAAAGTGACCTTTAGTAGTGTGTGGAAAGATACCAGGCAGAGCACTGAGGGTCTGACAGAGGGATGGGTACCTCCACCAGCTCTTCAGAGGGAGAGAGGAGTGGGAGGCAGAGCTAGGAATGGGCCCCTGCCCTGGTGAGGGCAGGAAGCAGAGGACAGAGAGGTAGGAGATGCTCAGGAGGTGCAGAGTTACAGCAAACCTTGATCCCAAAGGGCTTAGGAACCCATCTCCCAGACCTGGTTCCTCTCTTCCTGTGCATCCCATGGCTGGGTGATGGCTCAGAGCCCCCCAACAGGGTGCTGACATCCTGGTTTTATGGGACTGAGGCACAGGCAGCATCTCAGGCTCAGTTACTCTCCCTGTCTGTTCCCTCCAGAGTGAATGGGCAGAACCCAGAGCTGAATTACATGGTCCTCATGCACAACGGCACCTTCAACTCCACCCGGCCCTACCAGGTCACCCTGACGTGCAGTTTGGTGATCTTCAAGTTCCCCTTCGACACCCAGATGTGCAACTTGAGCATAGCTTCATTCCTCTACCCAGGTACAGCTGCAGGCTGGGCTGAATTTGGAGGAGGACTAGATGAAATGGGCCCTGGTAACTCCTGGGCTCCTGAGCAGCATCTCATGCTCACAGCAGGGTTGAGGTCATATGAGACCAGGGAAAATGAGTTAAAATGCTGCCATTCTGTCCTGGCACATTTCCCAGAAACATCTCTGGAACAATCCAGATGTTCTGTGGCAAGCCCCTCCCAGGACTGGTTTCTACAAACCAAGAGACCCAAGACCAGGAGGCTTCCTGCAAAACTGCTACTTGTTCACATAGAATTTTGCAGGACTGATCTTTAAACACACCTGAAAGCCACAGAAATGGGAGAAAATTAATCATAGAATCCTAAGGTTGGAAAAGATTTCCAAGGGCATCAAATGCAACCATTAAAAGGACAGTTTCAGGGATTCAAACTGCAGTTAGAGTTCATCCCTACAGGGAGGGCTGAAATATAAGCAGAGGTGACACAAAATCTCCCCAGTCCCATCCATAAAGGACAACTGCCCTAATTCAACAGATGTTTCCCCTCTGATCCACATTTCCAGAGGTCCAGTGAAGCCTCTTCACAGAGACCTTTTTAATTTCTCCCTCATGGGCTGAGAAACCCAAGCAGTGCATAAAACCTTCCCCCTTCCTGTCTGCATACACCCTCAGTTGGGTGGGAAAGGGAGAGGAATAACTGACCTCTAACAAATTCCTAAATTCTTCAACTTCCCTTCCCCCTCTGCCTCCTGCCCAAGCAGTAACAGACTTTGTCATGAAGACGAGACGGACACCAGCTGAGATTGTAAGAGACAGCAAGAGCTTAATCCTAACTGATGGAGAATGGAAGTTTACCAACGTGAGCATCATTGAATTCACAGAAATGATGGATAACAAAGGATTTTCTGTGGTCACCTATGTGGTATGGCAGCACTTCCATATTATATTGCACTGATTTGGCACCAAAAAACCCCCAGTATAAAACATGACCATTTTTTACATTAGGGGACCAGCATTTGTCAACACATTGAGTCATCTGCTCATCAAATTTTGCTCATCTTCCTTAACAGATTTCCATGGATAGACGACCCACTCTCTACATTCTGAACTTGATCCTCCCAACGTGTGCCCTGTACTTGCTGGACATGGCCGTGTTGTTTGGTCCTAGCTCTCTTGAGGAGAAAATCAACTTCCAGATTGCCATCATCCTCGGCAGCTCCATGCTGGCTGTGATTCTCAACAACAGCCTCCCAACTTCCTCCAACAAACCACCCATCATAGGTACCCACCTTTATCAAATAAACCCCGATTTTCACCCAGGTACCAGCTCTAAGGGAGGTTTTTGGGTGTTGATAGACACATTCATGAACACCGAAGTCATGAACAACTAAGCTTGATTAGCTTGCTGGAGTTAGGCTTTCCCTGTTCCCCACCAGGCAATAGAATGTAAGAAAATGCCAATTCTCCAGAGCTTTCTCTGTTTTCCTGTTGCTCTGCAGTGGTGTTTTTCCTGGGCACCTTCCTGCTCATGATCATGGCTGTGTTAGACACCTTCTTCCTGTTGTACCAGCAGCGCAAATCTGGGCGCTTGGACAAGGTCCTCAGGAGCTTCCAGCAAGGTAAAACAGCCCATAACACCTCTAACAGAGGAGGTTGGGGGCATTTTCCTGCATGTTGGGTCGAGCCGGGTGGGTCTCCTCAGGGACAAACTGTGCCCCAGGCAGTGTGAGCCATGGTGGCCCCACAGTGCTGACACTGCCCTTTCCTCCTGCAGACCCACATGAGCTGCCCAAGGCACCCCCAGACAATCTGGCCAAGGGGGGTCCCCAGCTGCTGCACCCTCCCAAGAAGGCCCAGGGACAAGGGCAGCCTACCAAGCGCCTCTGGCAGCTGCAGGAGCTGGATCAGTTTCTTCCAGTTCTGGAAAAGGTGCTTCTCTTCAGCCACCTCTCCTTGTCCCTGTTCTTTTTTACTGTGATTTTTGTAAAATGGAGCAGCTGAAGATCAGCTCTGCCCAGTGCCAGCTCAGTTGTTCTCTACTGTGTTGCTTCTGACCCCCTGCTGTAATTTGTTCCTGGTCAATTCGTAGAGCTGCAGTTCAGTTGCCTGAATAAAATTAAATTAAATTGAAATCCAAAGCCACAGGACCCAAGATCTACATGTGTAGTGCTTTGTACTCTGGTTCAGTAGAACTACAGATGTTCTGGAAGTATTCTGTGAGCTACTAAGGTATTTGAATAAAATAGTTGTAAAATCTGGGGATAACACCTTCATTCTACCTATCTGTAATCTGACCTCCAACATGACCAAAAAGAAAAGGAGCTGATTGCCTTTTCTTAGATGAGAGAAGGCAATCAGCCATCTTGATTAAACACTTTCCATCTTGAGAGGAGGTGTTTAAGAATTCCACCTCACTTTATTAAATAAAACAGTGCAAGTCTTTACTATTATTTCTGTGAGTTCCAGTGAGATCAGCACCATTCAGAAATCCAGGGCAAAGAGAAAAGGAACACCATGATTAAGTGTTTTTAAAAAATACTAAACAAGTAATTTTTTATGTGCATCTCAACACACCACCACTCCTTCACCTCCTTTTGGAAATGGCTTTTCCTAAACAATCACAATCGGCCCAGAAAACAGCCCCAGACCTGTGGCTGTAGAAATCCTGAGACGCTCCAGACAGACACAAACCACTGCCAAATACACTCCAGCATCTCAAAGGGCTACACACGCTCAACTTCTGAGCAAGTGTCTGCCTTCAAGGACAGGAGAACTCCATCCCCTGCCCCGCGGGGTTACAGAGAGGGATAGGAGGTTTATTTGCATTTCATAGGGTTCAGTTTGATCAGCAGGACAGGGAGCTTGGTCCTGCTACCAAAACAAGCTCATAGGTAGAAAACACAAAATCCAGAAAAAGTGGAATGTTTGCAAGTTACTGTATTGCTCCACATTACTCAGAACTCATGTCTAAGATCTAAGCTATAGACAGAGAAAGCTCTTTATTTATAAGATCATGGAGTCTGAGAGTCATTAAACTGCTCCCTGAACTGCTCCCAGTTTACAGATCAGCAATTGGCTTGTGGGGCCAGTATGGATATTTCTGCTTGTTCAGTTTGGTTTCAGGGAAGGCTTCACTCAAGTCTTCAAACGTCATCTGTTCAAAGGGAATCATGTTCTTGAGCTTCTGGAGCTGTGGAACAGGGGACAGACAATCACAAGTCAGTGGTCAGCAGGAAGGAGCAAAGCACACCCAGGAGAGCAAGGGGTGTGTCCCAGAGAATGTTCCCTAAGCAAGGTCCAGCCTCACCTCCTGCTCATACTGGGCGATGCGGGCTTTGGAAGCCTCGATGTACTCAGCAGTGCTCTTGGCCTGAGGAGAGCAGAGGACATGGGCACAGTGGTTATGATAAACACACTGCCCCAGAGTGAACCTGCACACGCACCCCCAGGCTTTCAGTTGGCATTAAAATCCATCACTGTTACACTGGGTAACTGATGGAATCTCCAGCAGACCCCAAACAGCCAAACCCTGTCCTGTGCAGGGATCCCTTGCTCAGAAAGCCAGGCACGTGTGTGAAGGGCAGAGCTGTGCCCATCCAGAACATCCCCTTCCTCTCACCCCTTCCCACCCCCACAGAAGGCAGGGACAGCCCCAGCAGTAGGGAATGGTTCACTTACAGCTTCCTTCTCCTGGGCATCAATCTTGGCAGTTTGTGTATCCACTGGCTCTGGAACCTTTAGTGCATTGAACTGTAAATTTAAAGACAAATATTTTTAAGGTTTGTTTGACTGAAACATCGAGGTCACCTTCCCTAGCAGCAGGGGAGCATTCCCTCCTGTCTTTTGCTCACAACATGTATATTAATGAGCTAAAAGTGATCAGTGCAGCTGTCCCCTGTCCCTCCCAAGCAGCACTTGCTCACCCAGGAGCTTCCAGACATCTCCTCTGTCCTTCCCACCACTTCCAGGACACACAACACCACCCATTCCCCACAGTACTGGAAGGAAGCTGGAAGGTCCCACACCACAGACTGACCCTATGACAGAGTTACTGCCCCCACACAAAGCTTCCAGACCCATCTGAGCTCAGTGGGTGCCTCCAGTCTTAGGAGGCAAATTTCCATAGTGACACAACCAAGCTCCTCTGCTGATCCTGGTTTTCCTCTCAGTGCCCCAGTTAAACTCCAAAGAGCAATACCCAGCTGGCAAGGAGACTGACCTTCTTCTGGAACTCATCCACCATTCCAGCCTTGGCAACATTAGCTTTGTAGAAAGCCCAGTCGATGGCCGGGGGCTTCTCTGGTAGCGCAGCCAACCTGAAAGGATGGAGCACAGCAGACATGAGCAGCAGCCTGAGCACCAGCACAGCCTGCTGTGCTCAGTTTAGCTGCTCTCAAGTTTGAAACAAGCCATTTCTGCAAATCCCTGTGCCCTTGGAACAGGCTCCTCTGGACAGACAGGCAGAGCTCAGCCTGCAGCTTCACTCAGCCCCTCTGGGTGCAGCCCGTAAGGAAGGACGAGGCTGTTTCACAACACTGAGCCAGAGGCAATCAGCAGAACTCCCTGCAACAGCCAGCACTTGTATCAGGCAGAGGATGCTAAAGGATTTGAGAACCACAAATGAATTTGTAGAGCATTTACAGTGACAAAGCTCGTGCTAAAGCAAGGTGCGCTCACAGAACTGCAGCTACGGGTTTACTCTGGGGAAGATTAACTAAAGGTGATTTGCCAAAAAAAGCCACCAGCTGCCTCAAGGTGACCCGCTTTAATACCTACGAGGCCACTCCTGCGGGACCACAGAAGGACAGACAGCAGCACTCGCAGCGGCTGTCGGGCGAGGGCTGAGCGGGCACTCACCGGGCCGTCAGCGCATCGTTGCGGGTCTTCAGCGCGTTGAACATGGCTCGCTGGCTCGGCGGCACTCGCTCGGCGAAGGCCGCCCAGTCCACAGCCTTAAGGGCAGCCCTGCGTCCCGCCATGGCTCCGCCTGGCCCGGGAGACACCGGTGGGTCACAGCGCGGCGGGGACCGCGGAGCGGGGCTGGGGACCGCGGCTCCGGTCGGGAACGCGGCACCGAGGGACGGGATGGGGTCACGGAACGGGACGGGGACACTGCGGACCGGGGCACGGAGAGAGTGCGGGCACTGGCAGATCGGGGCACAGGGATCCGGACACAGGGGTCGCTCCTGAGCCCCGCCGCGACCTCACGCTGGCCCCCGTCCGCTCCCACCAGCCTCCCAATACCGAGCACGTCCCCAGCCTACCCTGTCCCCCATGCTTCCCCTGTCCCCCATGCTTCCCCTGTCCCCCAGCCTCGGGACTCCAAATCCCCCTCCCCGGCCCCGCTCTCACCTTCACTGACCGACACTCTCGTCCCCGCCGCCGGAAGTACCGCCCCTCGGCTCCCGTCGCCCAATCAGAACGCGGGTTCACCGGAAGTCATCATCCCCGGAAGCGGCGCGGGCCGGAAGCGGCGCGGGCGGCGATGGCGGCGGGCGGGCGCTGAGGCTCCGCCATGGCCGAGGGGCCGCCGAGGGGCCGCACGCCCAGCCCGGGCCCCGGGGGGGCGCCGGGGCCGCCCAGCCCCCGCGCGGCCGGAGCGGCGGCGGGGGCCGCCGGGGCGCTGTCCCCGCCCGCCGCCGCCTCCAAGTGGGTGCGGCTGAACGTGGGCGGCACGTACTTCGTGAGCACCCGGCAGACGCTGTGCCGGGAGCCCAAGTCCTTCCTGTGCCGTCTGTGCTGCCAGGACGGGCCCGAGCTCGGCTCCGACAAGGTGAGGCCGCGGCGGGGCCGGGCCCCCACCCCGGATCAGCCCCTCCCCGAGTCGCCGCGGCAGCCGCTGTCACCGGGGTGCCCAGAGCTGTCCCACGGCTACCGCTGTCCCCGAGCCTCCCGTACGGCCCCGGGCCCGGGATGTGCCTGGGCCGATGTGCCACGGTTTGGGGGCACGTCACTCTGACACATCATCGGCTTGTCCCTCGTGTCGCACGGCCAGGGAGGGGGCGGCATCCCCAGGAACGGGACGTGGCTCTGCCCTCGCGCCTCTGACACCCAGATGATGCCGCAGGTTCTGATCCCTCCACCTCCCGTGGACTGCGCTCAAGGAGCAGCCCACATTCCCCGGTGGTTACAGTGGGGAAGGAAAGAAACTCCTAGAAACAGGAAGGTTACAATTTCTCACCCTGAGTATATTTGCTGTTGGTTTGGCTTTTAATATATTTCCCTTCACTCTCATAAAAGATGATGGTGCACATTCCTTGCATGGCTGGACAGTTTTGAAGTCACTGCAGTTTGTTGTAAGGATTTTACAAACAGTTATTCTTGCAATTGCAGATTTTCCACAGGATCAGGTGCACAAGGTGTTGTAAATGTGTTGTGAGTGGGTCAGCCAGAATTAGTCGAGTCTGTTGCTGCTCCATTCAGAGTTTAATCACAGGATAAATCCTGGTTATGATTGAAATATCAGTCAGCAGCATCAGTGAGGAGAGGAGATTTCAGAGTGGGTTTGCATAGTTTCTTATTGCTTTAGAGTAGATTGGCAGGAGAAACAATGCTTTAAAGTCCTTAAGAGAAGGATGTGAGAGTTCTGCAGAGGGCTTGGCAATGCTTCAAAGCTGCTCAAGAGGTGCTTTTGGCTGTCAGTTGTTGGTTATTTAAGGCCAGTAGTTGTTGTATTGCTGGACACATGGCAGGAGCATTGCAATGTGTGTTTGCAGTAGTGGAAAGGGAAAAAAAAGAACTGTTTTGGCTGTCAGGTGCCCTTAGCTAGAACTGGAGATCCCATCTTCCTCCAGAGCCTCCTAGTTAAACTAGTTTGGAGAACAGGCTTAGCCAAAACACAAGTGCCAGGTTTTGGTTCTTACTGCAGTGAAAAAGCCCTCCTAATCCCAGCATTCTTCTCCAGGTCCATAAAATGTGTACAAGTGCTTCATGTACGGCACCTGCCAGCATTGCTGGGGCTGCAATGTTCATAGATCAGACACTGAAAAAGAAAAATGGTTTAAATGTAGCACATTTATACACCTCCCACAGGCAAATGAATCCAGGTTCTCAAAGAGAAACTGTTGCATTTATTGTGTTAGATTGAAATTCTTATTTCCTGGCACCACTGAGCCGTGCCTGTTTTGCTGTCAGGATGAGACCGGGGCCTATCTCATTGACAGAGACCCCACGTACTTCGGGCCGATACTGAACTACCTCCGGCACGGGAAACTAATCATCAACAAGGAGCTCGCAGAGGAAGGTAAGAGAAAAACACAGGGGAGGCTGGAAGTGCTGTTTGACAGCACATCCAGAGTCCTCACCATCAACTGTGTGAGAGTGTGAGCAAGTTTCCCAGGAGTGCTGTTAGTACTGTTAATTGCTCATTAGCAGGGATTAAGTCATCAGATTCTGTGTCTTCCTGAGAGCAGAGGCTGCAGTTCACAGCACACCCTGTCACTCTTCTGAGCCCAAGGTCTGATACAGCCCATCTGCCCCTCACAGACCATGGTTCTGCCCAAACAGGCAGCTCTGAGGGCTTTCCCTTGATGGGGCTGGGTGAAGAAATAGACATTGTACCATGAGATCTCTGATAATCCCAGGGAAAGGGGAATAATCTTTCTTAAAGATCCTCTTAAGTCACAAAAGGAGGTGACAGCTAGTCAGGCATTTTCTCCTAGCCTGAGAGCAGGAGGTGGGTGGCACATTTGGGATTCTGACATCTGGGCTAGATTTGGAGTCAGCAGCAGGTTTGAATCCTTGTGACAAAATCATCTTCATTCTATCCTGTGCAAAGTAACAGAATCTGTGCTTTGGGTTCCTCATCAGGAGTGCTGGAAGAGGCTGAGTTTTACAACATCGCGTCCCTGGTGCGGCTGGTGAAGGAGCGGATACGGGACAACGAGAACAGAACCTCTCAAGTAATGCACCCCTGGGTTATGGAGTCAGTTCTGTGCCTCAGGAGGACAGACATGGCTGCAGCCCTTGCAGTAGCCCTTCTTTGGTTCAGCAGTAACAGGGGAATAAATGCTGTTAGGTGGATGCAGGGCATGGTGAGCAAAAAGTCCTCAGTGTGGCTTTATGAAGCACAGACCACTGAGTCGTCTCAGCCCTGTAGGGAAAGGCAAGGGACATTTACAGGAGAGGGGCCAGGAGCAGACATGGGTGGTTATAAAGGAAAACATACTGCTTTGGCAAAGAACAGCTCAAACTCTTCCTTCTCTAAAGCATTTCTTCCCTTTGTCTCTCTGTGACATGTTTCCCATTGATGTTCAGCTGATATCAGCACATGCAGTAGATTCAATTTCAGAAATGTTTTCAAAAAGCAGCAAATGGCCTTGAAAGCTAAAGAAGTTTTGCTTTCACTGTAGCTTAGACACCTAGAAAGCTTTTAAGAGAAGCGTGCCAGGCATAGGGTTCTGTTTTGGAATCAGTGGGATAAAAAAGCCCCTAGAAAGCCTGTGGGGCTCTGACTTCCTAAGATGAGAGCAGGAGCAGCTTATTAATTTTCTAATGTGATACTAGTAATTATATCATGCTAATTTTCTAGCATGATACTAGTAAAGCAATTACTAAACCCCAGGCATTGTTCTGTGTGCTCCAGGGACCTGTGAAACACGTGTACAGAGTGCTGCAGTGCCAAGAGGAAGAGCTCACACAGATGGTGTCCACCATGTCCGACGGATGGAAATTTGAACAGGTACCATTACCAAAGAATGGCAGAATTCCTTTGAAAACTGGATGTGGAATAAGTAGAGTTGCCTGTTGAGTTGCTTTTCACACTGCTCTGCTCTTCTGAATAAGCAGCCTGACCTGAGCAGCAATCCACTTGTGTCCAGTTACTGACAGGGGAGAGCAGAAGTCACTCGAGCTGCCAGAGAGATTTCATTTTTTCTCAGGGCTTCTTGTCTCCTTGTCAAATCCCAGAGCAGTTCTTCCCTTCTCCTGCATTTCATCACATACACCAGGCCACAGTATAACAGTTCTATCCAGGAAAATTACCAGAGCCATGAAAAAACACAGCACAAGTTTCTTGGAACCTCAAAGCCGCAACTGCTGCATTTGCTAAAGAGGCTCTGAGTGACAGGAGAACTTTCTGCAGATGTCTTTGCAGCTGGTTCCAGGGCTGTCACTGCAGTTGCACATAGCATTGGTTCCACGTTTGGCTTCTGGAATCAAACACAGTTCTCTTATTTCTGGGGAGGGAGAACTGGAGCAGCTGGCCTGTGTGTTATGTTATATTAAGAAACTACATAATAGGGTCTGTGGATTTACAGCAGTGTCTTCCCATTTAGTCCAGCTTCAGAACAGGTGGATGCTGTGGGAAGTGTGCTGACATGAAGTGAGGCAGAGGATTAGGAACAGCACTTCCCATCAGTTGTTCCTTTGGATCTGTTCTTTAATGCCTGAAAACTATCTCAGAGTGGAGAGGCAGCCAAAAACCTGCCCCTGTAAGGAAATAGTGAAATCTTGTGACCAAGAACCACTCATTGCTCCATGAAAATGCAGTTCTCCAACACACAGGTTTTGCTGTCCAGCAGTTTACAGAATCTGCCTTTCACACATCCATATCTACACCCTCAAAACCTTGAGGCTACAGGCAGTGCCTTTCATGGGAACCTGCACCCTTAGATCTTTCCTAATCTTCCTTTTCAAATATATAATCAATAAATATGGATCTGGCTCTTCCAAAATCTATTTGGACGTGGGAGTTAAGGTGCATGCTGCACATTAAAGTTTCCTGGACATACTCAGTTGATAAGAGTCACAGTGCTTTCTTCAGATGACTTGGATTTATTTTCTGGAAAGCAGAACTGAGTTGCAAATGACAAATTAGCTCTGTACTCCAGGATGTCCTTTTAATGTAATCATGATGAATGAGACAGATGGGATTTCTTGGATTGAGTCCAGACCCCCTCAACACAAAGTAATAGAATATAATCCTGTTTACACAGATACCAGACTCCATTTTGGCAGCATCCACATAAAGGACAGTGTCTGTTTGCCACATGTCCCCAGTTAATCCAACATCTGCCTGGGGTAAAGAATTCCCATTTCCACATCAGTCACAATGCAGTTGAGAGCTGAGTTCAGCAAGGACCAGACAATTTGCAATGCCTGCCCACGTCTGAGTGAACTGGATATTATGTATTGCACAATCTGTTTTCCCTTTCCCACCCCCAGAAACTGGGCAATGTTCTGCTGTGTTCAGCATTAGTTTCAATCTGGAATTCCTTCCCGGGGCTCCAGGTGCCACTAGAGCGCTGTGGAGCTCCAGGTGCCACTAGAGGGCTGTGGAGCTCGGATGCATCCCTGCCTTACACACACACACAGGAGGCTGCAGGGGACACATCATCCAGAACAGATCTGGGACAGTCCTCTCTCACAGCAACTGCAGGAATAAAATCAAGGCTTAC